GGCTTTGGACTGGCATTCAAGGTTTTAGGGTTGTTCTTTTTTAAAGGGTCAAGGGTTTAGGGTTCAGGGTTTAGGGTTTAGGGTTTAGGGTTTAGGGTTTAGGGTTTAGGGTTCAGGGTTTAGGTTTCAGGGTTAGGCTTTTTTTGAAAGCGCCTACCATCCTGTTACTCCGATGCCGCAACAAGGGTTCAGGGTTTAGGGTTCAGCGGGAACGCGAACACAACCCGTGACCCTGAACCCTAAACCCTAAACCCTTAACCCTTAAACCCCTAATCCCTAAACCCCTACACCCCTAAACCCTAAACCCCTAAACCCTAAACCTTAAATAAACCCTAAACTGTGGCCCCGCCACAAGGATCATGATCATGGTTATTACTCTGACTATTGTGGCATATAGCTAAACTAGTACTAGAACTATATAGGCACTCCCCTAAACCCCTAAACCCCTAAACCCTAAACCTTCAATAAACCCTAAACTGTGGCCCCGCCACAAGGATCATGATCATGGTTATTACTCTGACTATTGTGGCATATAGCTAAACTAGTACTAGAACTATATAGGCACTCCCCTAAACCCTAAACCCCTAAACCCTAAACCCTAAACCCTAAACCCTAAACCCCTAAACCCTATAAGGGGAGATCATGACCGGGATCCTGAGCCCTTCCTTGGACGTTATGTGTGCCTGCTCGGGGGTCCTTTTCTGAAATGTCCGCGTGCTAAAAAAAGCCTATTTAAGGACTTTTGCAGTCTTGCGACATTGCAACCGAAGCATGAAGGTGGTCGGGGATTGTAGGAATTTAAGAATTTGAGGGCTTAGGGTTTAGGGTTATTCTCAGTAAAGGTGCCCTTGCGAGCTGGATGCGAATAAAGCCACTGCTTGAGACCAGACTTCACAGCACAAGTTTGAACCAGCGAACCCTAAAACAACCCTGCACCCTAAACCCTACTTAAACCCTAAACCCTTAAACCCCTAAACCCCTAAACCCCTAAATCCCTGAACCCCTGAACCCTAAACCCTAAACCCTTTATTTTCTCACTGGCTCTCATGATTCTGGTGATCGCTACATCGCTTGATCAGGGGGAATGGCTGGCTGCTTTGCACTCTTCGCATAGTGCCACGGGTGCATACGCCCACTTCCTGGGCTTGTTCAGCAGAAATGGACGGCTTGAGGGTTCAAGTCCATGTTTTCACTGGAGGTTTAGGATGCGGAGGTTTGGGTGAACCGAGCTTCTGCTGCCACTCGGACTTGAAGTAGCTGACAAACCCGTCCAAGGTGTATACCTTTCCATCCTCCGCAATGCGCCTTTGCGTTGCCCACTTTGCTGCCTTCCACTTGGACCTTAGCTTCCGTGGGCCTGGAAGTGACAGAGTCGGAGACTCGCTCGGCTCAAGCAAGAATACTGAATGCGGGGTTTAGGGTTTAGGGTTTAGGGTTTAGGGTTTAGGGTTTAGGGTTTAGGGTTTAGGGTTTAGGGTCTGATACATGCTAGAAGCCCCTGATCGGATGTCCGGAACCGGTTCAGCACCTGCCAACTTGCAACAGTGAGGTTTCATATGGCTTTATCCACTTCCGATTATGGCAGCGGCAACACCCAAAGGGCAAGGGCTGAGGGAGGGAAGGCAAAGAGCCGCAAATGCATGTTTAGGGAAGCTTTGAGGAGGCGATGCTCCTATTAGGTGGCTCGGCTAGCCCTTCAGTGGATTTGAATGCTACCTGTAGTCTCCATTGTAGTTCCTTATGAGGCATACCTTATAAAATCCTGAATATATAACTGGTTAAACAACAAAAGGAACTACAATGGAGACTATAGGCAGACCATTTCCCCAAATTCTACCAGACAAAATCTCCTGCGGCCTGGCCAAGTGATTTAGACAGAGCACGACACGGCCGGGAAACTCGTAAAACTTAAAACCCTCATGACTGGCTCTGAAACCCGAAACTCCGAAACCTTGCGCCATTCCGGCACCCAGGAGCGGAAAGTTCGGTTTAGGGTATTGGGTAAAAGGTTTAGCGACTAGGGCTGAATCTAATCCCCTTCGGCTGGAAAGCTAGAACCAACAGCAGCATCGAAACTTCAGTTTGCAGCTCAGAGGCAACCAGTCGTCCTTGAAGAACTCCCAAAACTGCGGAACAGAATATGCTTTGCCATCCTCCGCCACCTGTCAGCGGATAGCGTTAAGCTTGCACTGTTAGTCTCAGTGTCAGAAATTTGAAGTAGTGTTTGATGTTGTTGCCCACCTGTAAACAGACACGCAATTGCACACAGTATTATTCTCACTATCTTGTTACAGCGATAACTTCACTACGCCACGCGACATTGGCAGTGTTCGCTGTGGTTGTGTCCATGGCGAGTTTCATCGTCGAAGAAGAATAAGTATCATAGTAGTGCTAGCAGCAGCAGTATTAGTATCAGTCGCCGTCGTTGCCGCTGTAGCCGTAGAGGCAGTCGTAGACGTCCTAGTCACCCTAGTCGTCCCACTCGTCGTAGCCGTCGTGAGCGTAGTCGTAGTAGAAGCCGTAGTCACTAGCAGAAGCAGCAGCCGCAGCAGCGGCAGTGGCAGTAGAAGAGGAGTAGATGTTACTTGCTGGTCTGCTTCTCCTGCTCCATGAACCCTGATATTCTAAACAAATCAACTGTTTTGCACCTATGCGACCCCACCCCCACCCCCCCGGATTTACATTTAGAATTCGTATAAGGGCGCGGGATCGCACAGGCATGTACTCTTGCGCACTGCACCATGCGGAACTGTGTGAAAACACTGGTCAGGCTTTAAGGCAAGCAAGGCTGAGGTCTGAGGTCCCTAAACCCTAAACCCTAAACGGTTTAGGGTTTAGGGTTTAGGGTTTGGGGTTCAGGGCTCAGGGTTCAGGCTTCAGGAGTGCATTGTTGTGTTTGCAGAACCCGGGCGGCTTTCAGGGGCCTGAAAGTTTCTGCCATATGTCGCAGATGCTTGCGCGATTCCTGATTCGTTCCTGCACCAACACAGTTTCAATGTGTTTTTTGTTGATCGCCCCTTCCGGCAGCCTGAAGAGGAGTCTGGAATACCATGTTTGAATGGGTTTAAGGTCTAGGTTCAGCTTGAAACATTGTCTTTCTTTGAAAAGTGCGCGTGCGTTTACGGCAGAGGGTCTTTAGCAGCACAGGATAGCAAATGAGTTGGTTGACAAGAGCCTCTGGAAAATATTCAACAACCAACCCCCAAACCTAAAAGCAGTTCAAGACAACACAAACACATGAACCAACATACACACAAACAAGTCTGGGAACCTAGTCTCCTGGAACTTGTGGTGCTTAGTTGTTTGCGCTTGTTTTGTAGTGTTCCCCAAAGGGTCCAAGTTATAGTATAGTATATACTTTGGGGGCCCAAATACCTACAAAGTAGCTACCATATTACTACTTGGACCCTTTGGGTTCTTGGTTTCACCCAGTCTTTGGTTTCCCGCGTAAAACCCACGAAAGCCTCCAAAAACTTTCTGGCTACGCCCACCAAGACCCCAATCGAACCCCAACGCCAAACCCTGCTTTACCCGTTTAGTTAAGCCCACCAAGACCCAATCGAACCCAAACCCCTCCGCCAAACCCTCCTAAACCATTCCAGTTAAGCCCACTTAGACCGAAATCGAAACCAAACCCGCCGGAACCCACTAACCATTCTATTCTAGTGGATTTATTTTACTTCTTGTGTACTTTATGTACCACTACACCGGGAGGGGGGTGGGGGTCTGGGGGGGCACACGGATCACAAGTGCGACACTAGGGTGCCGAGCAGTTTAATCTGTTCCCAAACAGTAAACCCCGAAACGATTTTTGCCGACGGCATGACCGAGCTCGAATTGACAGCAGCGTGCGGCATGGGCGAACTGCAGTTCCTCCATGCATAACTTAGAAGGCCCATTATCCTGATGTTCGGGAAATCAGGACGGAATAAGTGGTTGGGCTTCACAGTTTGGACACAAAAATGTAGGGTTTAGGGTCCCTCAACCGTCAACTATACCCGCAGTGAGCCTTCTGGGCCGCTGGGCTTGCCGACCATTTCTTCAGCCAGTTGCTCCCATAGTGGTCCTTGAACCTGCGAGAACCAGAATAGTACCCATATAGAAACCGTTTTCAGGAACCCTGTCCTTGAACCTGATGCGGTTTTGCAAGGCATTCGGTTGAGTGTGGACTTCGGGGTTTGAAACGATTTAGGGTTGGGTTTAGGGTTTAGAGCTTAAGGTTTAGGGTTTAGGGGTTTGGGGTTTAGGGTGTAGGTTGTTGAGGATTGATTTGGACACTATACAGATACAACTACAAACCCGAAAATTTCGAGAGCTACTCTACCCTGCGCATGCATGCATGTATGTACGCATGTATGCATGTAATGTATGTAATGTATGTAATGTATGTAATGTATGTAATGTATGTAATGTATGTAATGTATGTAATGTATGTAATGTATGTAATATATGTAATGTATGTAACGTATGTCATGTATGTAATGTATGTAATTCATGTAATGTATGTACTGTATGTACTGTATGTTATGTATGTACTGTATTTAATGTATGTTATGTATGTAATGTATGTAATGTACGAAATGCATGTAATGTATGAGATGTATGTATGTATGTATGTATGTATGTATGTATGTCTCTCAGTCTGTCTGTCTGTCTGTCTGTCTGTCTGTCTGTCTGTCTGTCTGTCTGTCTGTCTGTCTGTCTGTCTGTCTGTCTGTCTGTCTGTCTGGGAAGATAGGTCGGATGGCTCGCTGGGCTGTAGCTTTGCTGGTCTGGTGAGCGGTCGCGTTCAACCGTTCCCATGTCGTATCCTGCGGTGGGGCCGCGGGTTAGTCCTAGAGACAGATGCGACGCAACCTTTGTGCTGCTTGCTCGGCTTGTTCACGAACTCGTCCGATGGCCGTGAGAGAGAGAAAGAGAGAGAGAGAGAGATGTCTGTATGTCTGTATGTCTGTATGTATGTGCGCATATATGCGCGTATGCATGTATGTACGTATGTATGTATGTATGTATGGAGATGTGAAAACGTGTCTGTATACTTGATGTATGTGCATATGCATGTATGTAAGTATGCAGAGCATCGCACAGCAGAACATGGCAGAGCATAGCACAGCATAGCATATCAAAGCATAGCATACATAACATAGTAGTATAGTGTTAGTAACGGAATTAGTATTAGCATTAATATTAGTATTAGCATTACAAATCGTCTTAGAGTTAGTATCAGTATTATTAGTATTGGTATTAGTAGTAGTGTTAGTATTAACATGAGCATTAGCAGTAGTATGAGTTGTATTCGTATTAGTATGAGTATTCGTATTAGTATCAATATCTGCATTAGTAGTATTGGAAATCGTATTGGGATGTTGAACATTATAGCACTGTAGGTGTGTACATGTGTATATATGTATATGTACATGTAAATGTACATGTAAATGTAGATGTAAATGTACATGTATGTGTACATGTATACATGCATGTGTGTAGGTATGAATGTGTGTGTATGTATGTGTGTATGTATATATGCACTATGTATGTCTGTATCGATGTAGGTGTCTGTATGTACATGCGTATGTATACATCTACATAATATGTGTATGTATGTATGTATGTATGTATGTATGTATGTATGTATGTATGTATGCGAAGGTGTATACCTTGAGGTACAAGTACTTTCATGCGTGTATGCGTCATAATATCTGGATAGATTGGTGTGTGCGTGAATTATATGTATGTGTGCATAAGTGTATTTGTGTATACAGGTGTATACATCTACATCTGTACATATGAATGTGCATGTACTAGGATGGATGGATGGATGGATGGATGGATGGACGGATGGATGGATGGATGCACGAAGAGGTCATGCACGGATGGACGGAAGGGTGAATGGATCAATATGTGTGTATGCCATGCCGTGCCGTGCCGTGCCGTGCCGTGCCGTGCCGTGGCAAGGCAAACCATTACATGCCATCTCATACCATCTCAAGTTAGCCTGTTCATTGATTCATTCACACATTCATTCGTTCATTCATCCATCCATTCATACATCCATTCGTGCACTGACTCACTCGTTCGTTCATTCGTTCAACATACCTGCAGGCAGGCATGCATGTATTTATGTATTCCATTCCTTTCCATTTCGTTCAGCTCCAGTGCATTGCCATGTTCTTCCACTCCTTTTCAGCAGATTCGATTCGGTCTCATCAGAGCCAAGCAGCTGGGAAGCCGTGTAATATTTACCATCCTCTGCATAGCGAAAAGCTTGCATCTCGAAAGAGGTACGGATTGCCTGGAGCTGCTTCAGGCTTGGGGCTGGGGTTTGGGAGATAGGGTTTAGGGTTTAGGGTTTAGGGTTTAGGGTTTAGGGTTTAGGGTTTTTAGGGGATAGGATTAGGGGGGACCCTTTGGGGGACATAGACCCTCTGAATGAAGTCCCTTTTAAGAGAGCCAGCCAGGAGTACAGTTCAGAAGGGTCCCCTTTAAGGGGTTTAAACCCTAAACCCCTAAACCCTAAACCCCTAAACCCTAAACCCCTAAACCCCTAAACCCCTAAACCCTAAACCCTAAACGCCTAAACCCCAAAGCCCTAAACCCCAAAGCCCTAAAAACCTAAGCCCTAAACCCTAAACCCCTAAACCCCAAAGCCCTAAACCCTCAAAGCCCTACAAACCCTCAAAGCTCGACGGGCGGCCTCGACCTCGGCCTCCAGCCCAGGGGGTGGCCTGGCTCTTTCAGGGGCCTTAAGAAAGAGACCAGGGCCTGGGGTTTAGGGTAGGGTTTAGGGTTTAGGGTTTAGGGTTTAGGGTTTAGGGTTTAGGGTTTCAGCACTCACTTTCGGACTTGCCTAGGGTTTGGGGTTTAGGCTTTAGGGTTTAAGGTTCTTTGAAGGGCTTGGGGTTAAGGCTTTAGGGTTCTTTGAAGGGTTTAGGGTTCAGGGTTCTTTGAAGGTTTTGGGGTCTAGGGTTTAGGCTTTAGGGTTCTTTGAAGGGTTTAAGGTTTAGGGCCTGGGGGTTAAGGTTTAGGGTTCTTGAAGGGTTTAGGGTTTAGGCTTTAGGGTTTCAGGTTTAGGGTTCTAACTATAAGGGGTCTAGAAGATGGGGGCTTCAAGGGGAGTTTAAGGTTAGTTTGGGGTCTAGGTTTTTGGGGCCTCATATGAGAATTAGAATTTCCTGATACATAAGGAGTTACTATAAAGGCTGCATAAAATACAAGCTGCATAAAACAAGTGCTGTGGAGCTAGGAAATTGTTTTCTGTAAAGGGTTCTTTTAAACCGGTTTCCAAAGGGATTTAGTATCAGGGTTTAGTGTGAGGGTAATTGCAGAGTTGTACGATAAGAAGGAGCTCTCAGGAAGAATAGGATTACTATACTGAACTTGGGGCCCTAGCCAAAATTACAATTTTAGCTCTATTGCGTAGGTTAGGGCCTTAGGGATTATAGTAACCACAAATTAAGACTTACTTCTAAGTGCCACTAAGATTACGGATTCTTTCCAGGGTTCTCTAGTACCCCAAACAGCCCATTGGGCTGATGGCTTCGACACGCACAGGAGCTTAGCATTTCGGGATTTAGGGCTTCGGTGTATGTTTAAGGTTAGACTGCCTTGAACCATAAACCTATCCATCCATCCATCCATCCATCCATCCACATGTAAGCCTCAATCAAGCCAGAATCCCTGATTATGTTGAAGACCCAGTTATCACCAGCTATCTCAAAGCATGTCACGTAATCTTCACTACAAGCCATGATTCCACAATTACTTACGAAGGGCTGGAGTCTCCCACAGACGCTCAAAACCCCGGCAGGGTGTCCTGTAGAACGGCATGGAGTCAGCAAGCTCCGGGCTCCCCTGGCAGATGAAAGCGAGCTGACCAACACATGAGCCCGCATGAATACACCCGTACATTACATTACAGAACAATAGAACACGTCTCAGTAAATCAGATTACTTTACATACATACACACACGTACATGCATGCATACAAACCCATCTGGCCACCTACCTACTGACCTGCCTGCCTCTCAACCCATGTGTACCGAAAGGTGTTTGGGCGTACGTCTGCTTGTGCGTGCATGCATGCATGCCTGCCTGCCTGCCTGCCTGCCTGCCTGCCTGCCTGCCTGCCTGCCTGCCTGCCTGCCTGCCTGCCTGCCTGCCTGCGTGCGTGCGTGCGTGCGTGCGTGCG